TGTAGTTTACATGTGTTTTTTTTTATCATAAAAGTATCTGTAGTTTACATGTGTTTTTTTTTATCATAAAAGTATCTGTAGTTTACATGCGTTTTTTTTATCATAAAAGTATCTGTAGTTTACATGTGTTTTTTTATCATAAAGTATCTGTAGTTTACATGGTTTTCTAATGCTTAGTTTTCAACGTGTAAACCATAACTTTTAAAATAAAATGTACTGTTTATAACAGCAAGTTGTTTTATAAAACTTTGCCTATATTTTAATAATAAAAGAAATCAACAAACTTTTGGATTTATTAAATTAAGCTTTTCAAGCTGAGACTGATTCAAAAACAAACTTAAGTTGTTTTAACTTCATAAAACTAGTTTTCATTCTGTCTCAAACGTAGCAGACGATGGAAAATTAGAGATTACAAGGATGTTAGAGATCCCTTATAATTGTTTGTTTGTTTTGGATATTTGCACAAAGCTACAAAGAGGGCCAACTGTGCTAGCAGTCTAATTTTGAATTAACAGACTAGAGAGAAGATAGCTAGTTAACAGCACTTATCACCATCAACCGTTGGGCTACTCTAATTGAATACTAGAACTTGACTCTCAATCTTATTATACACCCAAAGTGAAAAGCACGAATTTGTAGCAATGGGATGGGAACCATGGACCTTCTGAATCAAAGTCTGGCACACTAATCACTATGTAACATCTAACGGAAAAAGTAATCAACATAAGAATAGTATGTAACCCACGTACCTGATTTCCACAGAGCCAGATTCGGAAAAAAATAAAGAATATACAGATGGTTTGTAACTTACCTGATTTCCAAACATCAAGATTAGGAAAATATAAGGATGGTATCAAATTTGATGATGAGGAACTAACTTTTTAGAAAATAAAGTTTGGAGATGGCTTGAATGGATAACGAAATAGACAATATTATTACAATAACTACAAACTTTATTACCTCATGATAACATCATCTTGTCGAAACATTGTACATAAAGTTTTTCGTTAACCCTCACTCAAGCCGCCTCCAAACTTTAACAGGATGGTACATAACCGATATACCTGATTTCCAATGGTTCGTTTACCAGCTGTGTTTTCTGCCTTTTGTTGAGCACTAAAGGAAGGGAATTGGTTTTTTTACATATCACAAAGAATATTTAAGTACAGTCCAAATATACACAATAAAAGAAAAATTGTCATGAAATACTATTTGAAATCATAGATCCGATCTAAAGTTCAGACCCAACGATATAAAATTAAAACTTAATTTAGAACCTTTTTATAACTTAAAAAATAATACAGAAACAGCTTCAATATTTCATTTGTCACAAGTATCAAGTATTAAGATAAAAATGTCTATAAAAGCAACACTAAAATTTAAGAAATGTTAAACAGCAAGATATTTTGTGTACGCATCCAATTCTTTTATTATAAATAAAACAATACGATGCTAACAGACCTGTACAGCATGAATTTTTTAGAACAGTGTAAGTACATCTGTGATCAAAACAGGACAGTTATATTTATTACGTCTATATTAGTTTTACTTTTACATAAACGTTTCACATTATTGTTTCTTTACTTACGAAATTTGAGAATTCAAAAAATGTTGAATCACCTAATTTTATCATGAATATCACTTTACTCTCAATTTGTTAATTAGAAAAAAAAAATTAGACAAAATCAATTTTTTTTTTATTTACACTTTCATAAATTAGATAATTCTTAATTTCTTGTTATTTAGCAGAAAATAAAACACTCAATATTTAAGTTTTTTTATTTCCAGTAAATGTTTACAAATAAATTACATCAGTAATGGTATCTATACACAACTGTATTAGCTATTTTTTTGATTTGAAATTTAATCTGAACATTTCAATGGTTCATGCATTAGTTTTCTTTAGTTCATGAAAAGTAGAGAGATAAAAACACATTACATTTTAAAAAAATAACTACAGGAAAGAGGTTTTAATGAGTTAGCAGTATCAGCTTTTAAGCCAATTTCTACTGTACTAGTAATTTTGAAAAATGCTCTTTAAGCAGGAGCTATAAACGTTCTAGTGCCGTCAAAACGAACGTGCCTGAAACAACTGACGACCAAATCTCACATATGCTAGCCAAGGCTTTTCAAAATCTAGAAGATATAGACAGAGATCTCAAAAGCTGTCTACAGCAACGTTAAATCTATACTACAATAGATTAAACATTTACATCTATGCAAGGGGAGCAGGAAGAAGCATAAGCAAATTACTGTAGATAACCATCTTATATTCACGTAACAAAAAGCTATTGGTTCACAAATGCAGAACAGAACCAGGGAAAAACTACTGACTCACCCTCCCATGTAAACGTCTCCCCTGGAAGAAACAGACAAATGTAAACATCCAGCTGATACTAATCTTCAACACTCTTACAATCAAAACTTATTAATGCACAGGTCAAAACAACTTGAAGTTTAAAAAAAAGAAAGACATAACAAATTATACCCATCAAAAACTGACAGAAAAAAGCTACTTCCTTTCTGCCGAGTTAAAGAAAAGAATATAAAAAAACTTAAGTTTCTTTAACACTCAAATGAGTACATTCTATCTATATAGATCAGGTCTTGACAAATCCTTGGCACCAGGCCACAATGGTGACTAATAATTATCATGACAACTACTGTTTTCTCCCATTTCATTCGTG